TAGGCAGTAACTACCAAAGACAAATGGGTGAGGTCGCGCAAAATCCCTAGATCAATCAGAGTTAGACATTAACACCGTTGGATGCCGGCCCAGTGGTCCGATGGTAAGGCGTTCGCCTACAATGCCAAAGGTCCCGGGTTCGAATCCTGCGAGGAGCAGGAGTCGTGGATGCGCACTGCTGAGGAGTCCCATACTAGGACGAAACGGCCGTCCAGTGCTTCCAGGTTTCTAATGGTGGTCTAACAATGATGATTGATTAATGATTTCAAATGTGTAAAAAACGCAAACCTCCAAAACTGTGCCCCAATATAATGTAACAGTGCTCACTAGTGACTAGCTTCGTGAGGAAATTCTCGGAGTTCTAGTTGAGAAGACGTGACCAGTGGAGTTCAACCCTGTCGGGTGTAGGCAGTAACTACCAAAGACAAATGGGTGAGGTCGCGCAAAATCCCTAGATCAATCAGAGTTAGACATTAACACCGTTGGATGCCGGCCCAGTGGTCCGATGGTAAGGCGTTCGCCTACAATGCCAAAGGTCCCGGGTTCGAATCCTGCGAGGAGCAGGAGTCGTGGATGCGCACTGCTGAGGAGTCCCATACTAGGACGAAACGGCCGTCCAGTGCTTCCAGGTTTCTAATGGTGGTCTAACAATGATGATTGATTAATGATTTCAAATGTGTAAAAACGCAAACCTCCAAAACTGTGCCCCAATATAATGTAACAGTGCTCACTAGTGACTAGCTTCGTGAGGAAATTCTCGGAGTTCTAGTTGAGAAGACGTGACCAGTGGAGTTCAACCCTGTCGGGTGTAGGCAGTAACTACCAAAGACAAATGGGTGAGGTCGCGCAAAATCCCTAGATCAATCAGAGTTAGACATTAACACCGTTGGATGCCGGCCCAGTGGTCCGATGGTAAGGCGTTCGCCTACAATGCCAAAGGTCCCGGGTTCGAATCCTGCGAGGAGCAGGAGTCGTGGATGCGCACTGCTGAGGAGTCCCATACTAGGACGAAACGGCCGTCCAGTGCTTCCAGGTTTCTAATGGTGGTCTAACAATGATGATTGATTAATGATTTCAAATGTGTAAAAACGCAAACCTCCAAAACTGTGCCCCAATATAATGTAACAGTGCTCACTAGTGACTAGCTTCGTGAGGAAATTCTCGGAGTTCTAGTTGAGAAGACGTGACCAGTGGAGTTCAACCCTGTCGGGTGTAGGCAGTAACTACCAAAGACAAATGGGTGAGGTCGCGCAAAATCCCTAGATCAATCAGAGTTAGACATTAACACCGTTGGATGCCGGCCCAGTGGTCCGATGGTAAGGCGTTCGCCTACAATGCCAAAGGTCCCGGGTTCGAATCCTGCGAGGAGCAGGAGTCGTGGATGCGCACTGCTGAGGAGTCCCATACTAGGACGAAACGGCCGTCCAGTGCTTCCAGGTTTCTAATGGTGGTCTAACAATGATGATTGATTAATGATTTCAAATGTGTAAAAACGCAAACCTCCAAAACTGTGCCCCAATATAATGTAACAGTGCTCACTAGTGACTAGCTTCGTGAGGAAATTCTCGGAGTTCTAGTTGAGAAGACGTGACCAGTGGAGTTCAACCCTGTCGGGTGTAGGCAGTAACTACCAAAGACAAATGGGTGAGGTCGCGCAAAATCCCTAGATCAATCAGAGTTAGACATTAACACCGTTGGATGCCGGCCCAGTGGTCCGATGGTAAGGCGTTCGCCTACAATGCCAAAGGTCCCGGGTTCGAATCCTGCGAGGAGCAGGAGTCGTGGATGCGCACTGCTGAGGAGTCCCATACTAGGACGAAACGGCCGTCCAGTGCTTCCAGGTTTCTAATGGTGGTCTAACAATGATGATTGATTAATGATTTCAAATGTGTAAAAACGCAAACCTCCAAAACTGTGCCCCAATATAATGTAACAGTGCTCACTAGTGACTAGCTTCGTGAGGAAATTCTCGGAGTTCTAGTTGAGAAGACGTGACCAGTGGAGTTCAACCCTGTCGGGTGTAGGCAGTAACTACCAAAGACAAATGGGTGAGGTCACGCAAAATCCCTAGATCAATCAGAGTTAGACATTAACACCGATGGATGCCGGCCCAGTGGTCCTATGGTAAGGTGTTCGCCTACAATGCCGAAGGTCCCGGGTTCGAATCCTGCGGGGAGCAGGAGTCGTGGATGCGCACTGCTGAGGAGTCCCATACTAGGACGAAACGGCCGTCCAGTGCTTCCAGGTTTCTAATGGTGGTCTAACAATGATGATTGATTAATGATTTCAAATGTGTAAAAACAATTTATATATTGTACCATTCGCTCTTATTATTATTGTCTGGTTTGTATGATGAGCTCACATGATGTGTCCCATTTGTCATTTGACCTTGTCAGCTATTCGTCGCTTTTATTCATGTGTGTGCATGCCTAACTCGTTGATCACATGTCTACCTTATATTTGTCTGACTATATATATTCTTAGTCATACTCTATCTCTTGGAGTTGTCTCATTAGCCTTCTCCAACGCGCTTCGCCTGTTCATTCACCTATTCGCCCATTCGTTCGCATCCTGGGAGTTGGCTCACTAGCCTCCTCCACCTCGCTTTGTGGTGTATCCCGAATAAACGTATTCATCACTTTGTGTTCATCTTCTGATTTATAAACCGTCAGACGCTATTTAGTAACGATTGTCTGGACGAGCTAATTACCGAGCTGAAGAACACGCAGTAAATCGGCACACTACAAATCCACCCTGCTCATCAATGGTGCTGCTACCCAGATGTATAAAAGTTTTTACATCTTCCAAAGCTTCTCCATCAAGTGTGACTTGGTTTGTGCATGTTGTGTTGTATCGAAGAGTCTCGCTTTCCCCTTTTGTGTATGTTGAGCCCTACTACTGTTGAGTCTGCTGCTGCTACCATACTACTCGTCATCTTTTCACATTGTCAATATATTTCAGAAACCTTAGAATAATTTTTTTCAAGCTCATCATTAAAATTTAAATTCCTCTCAACTCCAATCAGTCACAAATTTGAATTCAGCTTCAATTACTCTACTTGTCAGTCAGTTTAGAGAGGAATCAATGCTAGTTGCATCAGTCACTCACTACTACTACTACTACTGCATAGTTATCTACTTTTTTTCTTCTAGTTTGACGCAAAACCACCTACCGAAATTCATACATCATAATATGCCAATCACATATGAACTATAAATAGAACACTGAATTGAATTCAACTCATACAACACACACACAATCAACATGAATACAATTTTTTATTGTATCGATTTGTAAATTAATCATCTTCACACACTAATTTGTAGATCGAATCAATCAATCAATCAATACAAACTGATTGATCATGTCTATCATTTCTCAATTGTAAAATGTCAATCAAATCAGCTAGAACGTTTGTACGTAGGTACATCAGTTCATGACGCCATACCATCACATAAGCAAACACACACACAGAGTGATGGAATTGTTAATTTAAATCCCTTACTTTTAGAGGTGGTTGGTAAGAAGTGATTAGAACTAATGGTCGTTTTTAGAGTTTGTATAGTGTGTGTGTGTGTCAGCCAGTCAGTCAACAACAACAACATAGAACTTCGTACGTACTTGCGTACATCAGTTCAAGTTGTCATAGCGCATGAGCACACAGAGATGCAATTGTCACTTCAAATCCCATAGTAGTAGATGTAGTAAGGGCATTAGAAGTAATCGGAGAGATTAGGATTAGAAGATATTCAAGAAGTATGATTCAGTGAGAAAAGTTTAGAAAGACAAAACTAGAGGTGTTGAAGAATCCAGAAGATTAGGATTTGACAGAGCACAGAGAATAAGTGCACTGGCGCCATTGCAAACGGTTTTGAGCCATGTCATTCAAGGTCTCTAACCATCGATTATTATCATCTCGCTGACCCGAACCAGGTAGTCGACAATTACCGACATGACTCAGTCCACTAGTCAATGACTTCATGGATTTGTGCCATGTTATGGTTTGGCCGCCCCTAGCTTTCTTCCAACCTATTCCTACACTAAAAAACATAGCTCTTCGAGTCAGTCGGTGGTTAGGCATACGCAGCACATGTCCCAACCACCTCAACTGACGAAGTTTCATTACTTCATCTATTGATCTGCCATTCTTACCTAGCATCCGTTTTCTAATAACAGTGTTGCTCACTCGGTTGTCCCAGGATATACGAGCAATGCTTCGAAGACACCTATGATCGAAAAGCAGTAACCTACGAATATCTTCTACTCTGATTGTCCATGTTTCACAACCATAAAGTAAGACAAAGCGAACTATTGCGCAGTACACTCGTCCTTTAGTCAACAGACGGATACCTCGCCTACACTATAAGTGACACAGGTTGGCAAAAGCCACCAACACCAAAGTCACAATGTTCAATACAAATGTCTAGCCAGTTCTACTGTATGGGGCAAAAACTTGGAGAACAACGAAAGCCATCATACACAAAATCCAAGTGGCTATTAAAAGTTGTCTACGCAAGATATTGTTGATCCGTTGACCAACCCCCCCCCCCTACTGTGGCATAGAACAAACCAGCTTCCTTTAGCATACAATTAAATCAGGAAGAAGCACTGGATGTGCATAAGACACACTTTGGAATTCACCAAACGGCGTGACGAAGCAAGCAAGCCCTTACTTAGAATCCTCATGATCAAATCACACCATTTAACAGAGAATCAGAGACAGAGACGTGAAAAGAATGAATAACAATTAGAATCAACGGAAAACGAGACTTTGGAAGCCAGAGTTGGTTGGAGGAACGCTAGTCGGCAGCCTATACTCCTCCACTGGTGGGGATAACAGGTGGACGTAAGTAAGTTCATCACTCACTGTCAAATAATAGCGCTGACTGATTATCTACGTTTTTTATTTTCACGCAGTATTATTACACCGCGAAACATTACAATCGTTTACGTGTCATGTTATTAAAATGCTTTTTTTTATTTTTTTTTTCCTATCTTAGCGTAAAGCTGATGGTGTTATGTGGCGTAGTCGTGAAATGGAATTTAAAACACAATTAGCTGAACGTCGACAAAATTATTTACAATTAGAATATCAATATGAAAGTCTCCTCACATCACAACGTATCCAGTCGAAAACGGAACAACATAATTATAAATTAAGAAAATCTTCGCTAGATTCAGATACAATATTAGAAATATCTACTACCACTACTACTCCTACTACTGATACTACCACTACGACTACTACTGATCTGAGTAATAATGTTCATAATTATACACTTGGTAGTTGTTACTTGAAATGTACAACACAACCGAATTATGCATCTGATCTAACCAATCCCACTGTATCTACCGCTGCTACTAATACTAATACTGCTACACTGAAACCTACATCATGTTATTCATTCAATACTGATTTATATACCATGTGGAATAACAATGATCTACCGCCACCAGCGTCTATTATGACTGAATCTATTGGTCCATTGGAAGATCTATGTCTTAGACCACCGTCGGATGATGTAATCATTAGTAGTGTTTGCTGGAATTCACCTTCATTATCACCGTCACAGTCATCATCATTATCATCGTCATCACATTCGTCAGTGATATCAGCTACTACTACCACTACCACTACTACTACTACTATGACGACGACGACAGCCACAACAACATTTCGCTCGTCCAATTCACCATCATCATCTGTCTTGTCGAATAGTACTACTAGTAGTAGTAGTTGTTATCAGTAGTAGTTCTAGTCAATTGCTAGTGTAATACTTCGTCTACATTAGTACTTGTGAATAGTAAAATAACAATCTATACTGCTGTAATATTTTTTTATAATTCCATAGATATATATATATACATGTATCTCCTAGATCTATTTCAGATCAGATCACGTGTAACTTTCTCTCCCTCTTTCTGTGTGTATCTTGCCACACTACTTACTCTCTGCCTACTTATGTGTATTCGTCATTATGCTTTTCAATGTTCAATGTTTTCTCTGTTTGAATTACAATGTGTTTTTTTGTAATCTTTCAATTGAATTGAGACCATGGCCATGTGACGACCGACAGATGTGCGTGTGCGTACGTGTGTGTAGTGTAACAAGTGGTGATTATCATACATAACTCACAATTGATTTTATCTCATTGATTTATGGTATCTTCCAGAGTAATGATTGTTTTTTTCCCACCTCCTCCTCCTCTTTGAGATCAAAATTATTACTCATACATAGTCTTTCATGATACTACTTACTTACTTACTAACTTACTTATAATCATGTACAGATTACACATATATTTATCTAAGTATTTATATCTCTATATATAATGCATTCAGATTATTTGCTCCTTTTTTTCTGAAACTTGTTTTTACTAGCGCTCCTTTTCTCTATGATAATATCTCTTATCTCTCTGTGGTTTCCTTTCTCACACTATTATTATTATTAAAAAGATTATATATGTTTGTTGTCAATAAGAGAAATAAATAATGAACGTTAAAATATTTCTTTCTATTGGTTTTTTTACACGGACAAACAACAACAGACCTCCTCCTACTCCTTCCTTCCTTCCTTCCTTCCTCTTTTTTACACAAATCACAACGACTTACTAACTTGTTAATTTTCCCATAACTAACTATGATATATCTATATGCTCATATTTGCCTGTATGAATTTTTAACCCCGGTTTGTGAATTACAATGAACTAACTTATTACTACTACTATTACTACTACTACTGCTGCTACTACGGCTGTTGATGACAGTTGTGTAGGAAGAGACTATATATACATGCATAGTCATCATCATTTATATAACAAGTATCCATTAATTAGGTGAGGCAAAGTAGTTTCGGTGAGAAGATAGCGATGTGTGTCTACAACACCTCCACAAGAGATTGATTACGCAACACTACTACTACTATCCCATCATTATTCTTTTTTTTTTTTTTACCAATCAGTTCACAATCAATGCATACTTTTTTATTGCCAATCAGAATTCTTGCTTCCTTTTTTTCTTAACTTTGGTTGCTTTTTGACTTGTGTTTACACTTTGTTTGCTTTTTAAACGCCGCATTGAATTTTTGCATTTAGAATGAATGTACTCGTTTGTCTGTGTGTGTGCGCCTCATTTTGAGTGTTGTTCGTTATCGTGTCTTCTTCGCCTCAATTCACACACACACACACACACACTATCAATCGATTTATTGACTGATTATCATTGTCAATAATACTAATAATAATCTTTGATTTTTGTCTTGTTTTTTTATCGAGCAATCAACTTTTATTGATCATTATGTAATGAATGTGATTTGATTGTCTATTATTCTCTCTCTGTCTATCAAAGAGTACATATAAATATATCTATATTTCTTTTTTTTTCGGCGTATAAAAATCCAATAAAAGCAAATTACTACTTATTATGAAATGAGTTTTTTCCTCTCTTTCTTGTATAGTAGTGTGGTGCGCGCTACTTATAAGTAGTATATGACGTGTTCTCCTTCACTACACAGTAGTAGTCACGTAATCTATTGCTTACTGAAAAGCATGATGCATCAACCAACATTGGAAATCTGGAAGTACAGTCGTCTCGTCCTGCCTAGTTATGGGACTATTGATCAGTGGCGCAATGCGTACCCACGACTCCTGCTGCTGCTGCTCGCAGGATTCGAACCCGGGACCTTTGGTTTTGCGCCCACGAACGCCCAATAGATGACATTTTTTGTACAACTGTCTTTTGTACTTGAACATATCTTCATTGCTAATGTAGTAATGCCACAGAATGTTAACAGTCATTCGGTTCAATGACGATTAAATACATTGTCGGTTAATATCCTCAAGCTCAGAAAGGTCAGGTTTCACAAAACTACGGTGAAACTGCTCTCCCCAATTCATTGTAGACTTGAGCTTTTATGGTCAGACTAGTCATTGTAATGTCAAAACTAGAAGTATTGAAAGACGGTCGTCTCGTCCTGCCTGGTTATGGGACTGCTCATCAGTGGCGCAGTGCGCATCCATGACTCCCGTTGCTGCTGCTGCTCGCAAGATTCGAACCTGCGACCTTTGGTTTCGCGCGCGAACGCCTAACCTGCGGATTGGTATCCAAACAGTGTTCATGTTTAACTTTGATCAATCTAGGGATTTGGTGCGACCTCATCGCATTTCATTGTGTTTATTGAATCGAATAGCCTTGATCGGTTTAGAGAGAGTATAAAGCCTGATGATGATCTAAATGAAAACTACACTATAGTTCGCTTATATCTGTTATGAAGAGTAGGTTGCTATTTTAAATTATTTAGGTATAGTATAGTTTGTATAAGTTTGCTTCGTAAGCTCTCTATACTCGTATTGACTTATTTCGGTCACCATCATTCGCTTCATTTATAGCTAGCCATTGTCTACTGTAAACGAAATTTGATTAGTTATGAGGAAACGATTGTCGGATGTACTGAATCATTCAACTTTGGTTTATCCGTTTAGTGGTTCTACCTGAATGAATGAGTGAACGAACGAACGACTGTTTAGCTGTTTGATTTGTGAATAATGAAATCTTAGGTCAATCAGTCAGTTATAGAGTAGATCAATCAACAGCAATGTAGAACTTCGTATGTACGTACATCAGTTCAAGTTGCCATACCGCGTTTGCACAGAGATGTAATTCTCAAGTCTAATCCCATAGTAGTAGAGATGGTGAAAGTATTAGCAGTAATCAGGTTTCGAGGATATTATTCAAGAAGTAGAATCTAGTGAAATAAACTTAAAGAAAATTCAGAAGATTAGAATTTCATAGATCACAAAGAGTAAATGCACCTACACCACTGCAAACGGTTTTGAGCCATGTCATCCAGGGTCTCTAACCATCAATTACTAGCATATCGCGGACCCCAACCAGATAGCCTGCATCTACCAACGTGACTCAATTCACCTGTCAGTCACTTCATGGATTTATGCCATGTTTTGGTTTGGCCGCACCTAACTTTCTTCTAACCTATTCCTATATCGCAAAATATAACTCGACGAGGCAGTCGGTGGTTAGGCATACGTAACACATGTCCGAACCACGTCAACTGATGAAGTTTCATTACTTCATCTATTGATTTGCCATCCTTACCTAGTACTCGTTTCCTAACAACAGCATTGCACACTCGGTTGTCCCATGATACACGAGCAATGCTTCGGAGGCACCTATGATCGAAAACAAGCAACCTACGAATATTTTCTACTCTGACTGGCCATGTTTCATAGCCATGAAGTAGGACGGAGCGAACCACCACGCAGTACACTCTTCATAACACTGACGTATTCAAAGCACTCACAATTTATCTGCTTATTAGATACTTCTAAAAATATAAGCAGTATTTACCATACACAAATCGTATTAGATTTTATATGTCATTGTTGTTATCGTGTTCCAAGTTACCTACTCTCACCTTTTACTACTAAGTCAGTCAGTCAGATGCAACGTAGAACTTCGTACGTAAGTACATCAGTTCATGTCGCCATACCACATCAACACAGATATAATTGTCAATTCAAATCCATTAGTAGTAGAGGTAGTACAGGTATTAGAAGTAATCGGAGAGGTTAGGACTAGAAGATCTTATTCAAGAAGTATGATTAAATGAGAAAAGTTTAGAAAGTCAAAACAGCACGAGAGACCAAATCGGTCAAAATCAAATCCTTTTACTACTAAAGCAGCATAAGTGGCCGACAAGCATTCTCCAACCTACTCTATCTCCTATTCGCCTTTCCATTTATATCCAAACGCTGTTCATTATTTTCATGTGTGCTTATAATTCTCGACTTCATGTGTTCTTTGGTCTCCTTCTTTTCCTAAGACCTTGAGGATTCCAAGTAAGGTTCGGTGATTTCCGCAATGTATGTCCCAGTCACCCCCGGTGCTTTCTCCTAATTTCTCTCTCAGCCGGAGGAAGCTGCTATGTTCTCTGCAACAGTAACTTGTCGCTGATGATGTCTAATCAAGGAATGCAAAGTATCTGTTAATAAACATTTGTATCTTGTTCCTTTCTTCGCCTGAGATAGAAGGACTAGTTCATCTGCAAAAACTTCGAATCGTTCATCTGCATCCAAGCTATCCACTGATTCTAACTAAATTAACTATGATCTATACTTCATAATCAATATAAGTCAAATGATTATCGATACGATAATATTCAGTTTTTTTTCATCAGTAAAGTTGTACACAATGAATACAGGTAGATTTTAAGTGAGATACTTTAAACATAAACAATGTTTTCAATCATATGAAGTATAAACAAATTTTAATTACCATTACAAAAATACAATTTACACCATAAATAACAAGCGATTCACATAACTGCACTTTCATATCATGCTATATCCACTGTTGTCAAGTGATGGTCGTACAACAAACATGTGTTTATCAAGTCCGGCAGAGAAAGAGATTGTGAAAATGCTCTGAAGGTGGATAGGACACACATTCAGGAAAGCACCCAACTGCATCGCAAGACAAACCCTCAGATGTAATCCTCAAGCCTAACGGTAAAGAGGAACACCAAACAACCCACTACGCCGAAAGTTCGGGGTGGTAGACATGAGAAGGTGGAGGACAGAGTAGGTTGGAGAATGCTGGTCAGTTAACGATGCTCCAACGACGGGGCTAACAGGCTTAATTAACTAATGTACGCTAGTTGTTTTCTCGTAACAAATAAAGAAAAACTTTTTCTACTCTCAAAAATATCCCTGTATTCGTTAATTCAATTAAAAAATAATAATAATAATTTAGGTAATTGTCCGCAAAAACGCATTTTTTAAAAAATGATGTTAGAAAATTGCTAAACAATTTGCAATAATTGATTTTGAACAAAAATTCACTTGATCTCCGCTCCTCCTTGTCAAAATCATCCGCTTCAATTAGTTGTGACCTTGATCCTTTGTTGTTGTTGTTGTTGTTGTTCGTGTGTTTTCCGATCAACCACTGATTCAAACATTTCACCGCGATCGTTCTTCAATGCTTTAATGTTGTTGGCCTTGGAATTTGGCGGCGGTGCCAGCGGAGAAATCGCGTAAAATTGCTGGATTTCATTGAATTTACGCATTAATTCCGGTAGAAATTCACCCAATAATTGATCACGTTCAATGCATTGTTTGGCGATCATTGTCAATTGAACATTGACAAGATCATGATAAAAATCAATGGTGGATTGAATTAATTTCTGTTCTGTAGTTTCATTGGCTGCGATCATATCTAACAGAGATGGATGTAATGAATATGCATAAATCATATGAATAAGATGCATAGTTAAATAGATATTGACAGAGTGAAATATATTTTCAAAGTATGAGAATTTTTGTAGATAAATTGGTTTCTAATTCTAGTGAATCAATGTACTACTACTTACTTACGCCTGTTACCCCCAATGGAGCATAGGCCACCCACCAGTTTTCTCCAACTAACTCTGTCCTCGGCTTCCCTCTCCAGTTCTGTCCAATGTTTGTTCATCCCTCTCATATCTTTCTCTATCTCTCGGCGTAATGTGTTCCTTGGCCTTCCTCTTTTCCTTTTGCCTTGAGGGTTCCATGTGAGGGCTTGTCTTGTGATGCAGCTGGGTGCCTTTCGTAGTGTGTCCTATCAAATTACACCGATTCTTCCTGATTTCCTCCTCCACTCGAATCTGGTTTGTTCTCTCCCACAGTTGGTTGTTGCTGATAGTGTCTGGCCAACGAATACGAAGTATTTTGCGTAGACAACTGCTAATGAATACTTGTATCTTCTGAATGATGGCTTTCGTAGTTCTTCAAGTTTCAGCTCCATACAGTAGAACTGTCTTCACATTTGTATTGAAAATCCTAATTTTGATATTGGTTGAAAGTCGTTTAGAGTTCCAGATATTTTTCAACTGTAGAAATGCAGCCCTTGCTTTGCCAATCCGCGCCCTCACATCTGCATCGGATCCACCTTTCTCGTCGATGATGCTGCCAAGATATGTAAAGGTGTTAACGTCCTCGAAAGCATCTCCATCAAGAGTGAATTGGTTGGTGCATGTTGTGTTGCATTGGAGAATTTTGCTTTTTCCTTTATGTATGTTGAGACCTACTGCTGCAGAGGCTGCTGCTACACTGGTCGTCTTCTCTTGCATTTGTTGTTGCGTGTGCGATAGAAGAGCTTAGTCATCTGCGAAGTCCAGATCGTCCAGCTGCGTCCTAGTTCTCCAATGAAGACCGCGCTTCCCTTCAGATGTTGACGTCTTCATAATCCAGTCGATGACCAGGAGAAAGAGAAAGGGTGAGAGTAAGCAACCTTGCCTGACACCGGTCTTCACCTCAAAAGAGTCTGTCAGCTGACCTCCGTGCACGATTTTGCAGTTGAATCCATCATAAGAATTCCGTATGATGTTGACTATTTTCTCAGGCACACCGTAGTGTCGAAGAAGCCTCCACAGTGTTTTCCTGTCCACGCTATCGAATGCTTTCTCGTAGTCGATGAAGTTGATGTAGAGTGGTGAGTTCCATTCAATTGATTGTTCCACAATGATCCGTAATGTAGCAATTTGATCAGTACACGATCGATCCTTACGAAATCCGGCCTGTTGATCTCGAAGTTGGGCGTCTACTTAGCATGATGGATTAGATTTATGAAAGTTTGCCGGTCTAACACATATAATCTGATTCAGTGTTCAATACTAATTTAAAATAAAATCCTGCTGTCAATCAAGCTACAATAGCAGTCAGTCTAAACCCGGTCAGTTTAAACTGTCTTGCATAAAAATCAATCTGTCGTCGATGAATCTGTGAAACAAATTGAAATCATTCCGTTCACTTTCTTCTTAGTGGTTTTTTGTTTTATCAAAGTTTTCATTACACATTTTTGCACACAACTTCAAAATCAAGGGAGCTATTCTCATTTCTCCTGAAGTGGATATAATCTAATCAACCAATAGCATATATTTCCCTCAGTGTATTTATTTCCTGTACCTAAATTAATGATTGCTCTAGTTGTCGTCAAAAGATGCATCGACCTCATCACTTCCGAAAGAAATTGGCTTTCATCATGAGACATCATAACTCTTCTAAATGAAGATCTTACAACTCCCATGGCTGAGTTTAAATGGTTAACGGGTTTTTTTCAGCATGTTAGTTTTCTACTGGATGAAGTCGCCGCTGACTACATGCCCAACTCTCCTCCTTTGTCTGAGCTTATGACTGACAGTAGTCCCAGGGGGGCTCCTGGCAAAGTGTCATTGTATCTACGTTTCTATAATATGTTTACGCAGAAAATTATGGTTAGCTTTCCTGATCACTCAAATCTTAACCATTTTACACTATAAACAGATTAATTTCATAAAAATCTTTAACTATTTTCGGGTGAAACAAATTGTTGCTCAGTGAGTTTTAAGATATGTATAACCAGAGTTAAATCACTGACATTTTGTATTACTACTGTCAAAACTATCAGGTCAAATAACTTGTACTAAACAGGCTCTGAAACTAACTAAAAGCAAGCACCACAGCATTGTCGTGCCCTAGTCATGCATGTGACCTTAACCACTACCCTACATTCCATGCAACATTTCATTTGGATTTAAATGAAAACATTCAAACTATGCAGTAATTAGAATGTTCGCATTATTGTTTTTTTATTTTTACAAATCAACAACAAACAAACTCTAACCTGATATCGACTGATATCGATTTCGTAATTTCGATTTAAAACGCATTATCTTTTCCCAATTGGAACAAACATTTTGTATAGATTGTTCTTGTTTTATGATACCCTAAATAATAGAATTTTAGATTTTTAGAAAAAAAAACAGTAATTACAATCATTAAATAATTAAATAATTTAATTGGTATTTACTTCATTTCATTAAAGCATAATATTTCATAGATATACGTATATACATATAGCAGTTAACATTTGATGTTCATTCTAACAATCTGTAGGTATGTATGCTAAGAGCATATAAAAATTAAGCTAACTTGATAGATAGATATGTGGTGCGAGCTACTTATAAGTAGTATATGACGTGAGTGTCAACGTAATCTCTGGCAGCAGAAGATGGGGGAAGATCAAGAAAGGAAGAGTTAAAAGAACACAATGGAATTTGTATGAAACGCATGAACAGTGACAATGGATTGATGTTTTGCAACAGGAACAGTCCAGTTCGATATGATGAGCTGATATTTTGTAAATGAACGATTTACGATATGGTTTTCCAATTTTACTGAGTAACTCTGTAATTTTCGTTAAATACAATTCGGTTCCCCACCTGTGTTTTCGTTCATTACAGATAGATAGATAGATAGATGTGTGGACAGATAGCTAGATAGATAGATAGATCTCAAGAGTCTTAAAATCATTGTTTATACATACAAAGATCCTAGGAATTGCTTACAGCCTTATGGATGTTCATTGTGGATCTGATGCAGATGTGAGGACACGAATCGGTAAAGCACGAGCACCGTTTCTACAAGTGAACAATATCTGGAACTCAAAATAACTATCGATCAAGACTAAAGTCAGACTTTTCAATACAAACATCAAGATAGTTCTACTGTATGGAGTGGAAAGTTGGAGAACTACAAAAGCCATCATCCGGAAAATACAAGGACTTATTAACGGTTATCTATGCAAAATACTTCAGATCCGTTGACTAGACACCATCAGCAATAACTTACTGTGCGATAGAACAAACCAGATTACCCCAATGGAGGAAGAAATTAGGAAGCAGCTAGGGGAGTGGATAGAACATACAGCGAAGAAAACATCCAACTTCATCATGGGGCGAACCCTTGTAGTGAGTCAATTTACTGATGTTCATTCAAATAATCTGTAAGTATGCATGCTAAAAGCATATAAAAATTACGTTAACTTGATAGACAGATAGATAGATAGACAGATCTCAAGAGTCTTAAAATCATTCTTTATATGTAGATCCTAGGAATTCCTTACAGCCTTATAGATCTTCATCGTGGATCTGGTGCAGATGTGAGGGCACGAATCGGTAAAGTACGGGCAATATCTGGAACTCAAAATAATTCTCAACCAAGACTAAAGTCATTATTTTCAATACAAACGTCAAGACAGTTCTACTTTATGGAGCGGGAAGTTGGAGAACTACAAAAGCCATCATCCGTAGGATACAAGGATTTATTATTAACAGTTGTCTATGCAAAATACTTCAGATCCATTGACTAGACACCATCAGCAACAACTTACTGTGAAATAGAACAAGCCAGATTACCTCAGTGCAGGAATAAATTAGGAAGCAGTTCGGGGAGTGGATAGAACACACAGCGCAGAAAATACCCAACTGCATCATGGGGCAAACCCTAACTTGAAATCCTAAAGGTCATAGGAAAAGAGCATGACCAAAGAACACATTACGTCGACAGTAAGAAACAGACATGAGAAGAATGAACAGAAGCTGGGTAGAACTGGAAAAGGAAGACCATAAGAGAGTAGGTTGGAGAATGTCTTTAGTAAGTGAGTAAGTAAGTAAGTAAGATTAGAACAAATAATCTATTTATGATTTTATCTAAATGTTGAATTTTGTTTAAATTATGACGTAAAACTTATTTAGCATAGTTTTTCACGTTTTTACTTTTAGTGAGTATCCAAACACTTACTCAAGTACTTGCGCACACACATCCACTATGGATTATTATACAGTGTTAAATAAACATATATTTCCCAGTGTGTTCATAAATACTAAATTGAATTATATAAATATGACGTAAACTTATTTATGAGTTTCATTGCAATCATGTATCGATTAGTGTTTGACTACGACGATAAAGAAAGCTGGTAGTACTGTGGTGCGTGCTACTTATAAGTAATATATGACGTGAGTGTCAACGTAATGTCTGGCAGCAGAAGATGGGGGAAGATCAAGAAAGGAAGAGTGGGAACACAATGGAATTTGTATGAAACGCATGAATAGTGAAATGTCAGACAATGGATTGATGATGGATTGAAGATTTGTAAATTAACCGTTTACGATATGGTTTTCCTATTTTACTGAGTAACTCTGTAATTAGCGATAAATATAATTCGGTTACCCTCACCTGTGTTCTCCTTCACTAAAGTACTACTGAAAGATGGCTGATTCTTTCTAGTATGCAGTTTATTAGCAATGCGCATCTACAACCCTGCAAACAGCAATCAAACACTTAGGACCTTCGGTTTTGCGCGCAACTTCTTCACTATTGAGCCACACACAGTTCAACGATTTTAATGGTAGCTTCTATCTATCTATCTTATAATGATAACTACGCACTAGTGTATGGGATAAGTAATATGAAATACTCCAAAACATCGAAATAATATGTTAGGATTACAACTCAAGTGAAAATTTCATCAATCTGTGCTTTTTTGCAAAATCACATACAAAACACAGCAGAGCTTTGAATACACAACAACTGTTTTGTTCATTGTCAACTCGTTTACTTAATGCAGGATTGTGTAATCAATCAGCTTCAATTCACATATTTTGTGTCAGGTTCATTTAGTTACGATCAAAATAAGCTGCTGCCTGAAATTTAATTAACCGATCTAAAGTAATGTGTGGCCCCATCTAATGTCACTTCCGCGTGTAAACTGCCTCATAGCATAGCCAACCGATTGACCGGCGGAGCTCACTCCTGTTGCGTGTGAGACAGTTATCCACCGAAGATAATGCCTAATAGTCATAAAATATCGTGGGTTGACTGGACGAGTTAGACATTTAGTGTTGAATGCCCGCTCACTGGTCCAAGTGTTGGGCGTCCGCGCGCCAGACAGACGGTCCGAAGTTCGATTCTCTCTCACGGTCGTGGGTGTGCACTGTTGATTAGTAGTCTCATACTAGGAACGAACGGCAGTTCAGCGATTCCAGCTTTCCAGTCCTCGTCAAACAGTGATCAATTCATTATTTCAGTAAAACTCAACAATCTCCACAACTCTATAAAGAAAGTTATTCAATCTTCATGTGTAACAGACATTTTGAAACCATGAACCGATCAATGTTAGATCACCATTAGAAACCTGGAAGCACCGGACAGGCGTTTCGTCCTGGTACGTAACTCATCAGCAGTGCACATCCATGACTCCTGCACCCCGCAGGATTCGAACCCGAGACCTTCGGTATGGTGCGCGAACATTGATCGGTTCATGGTTTCAAAATGTGTAACTTAATAATCTTCACGACCCGGTAATGTGTAGCAGAGTTGTGTTTCCTGGTTAGCTCCTTCTACGGGATCGGGTGGCCATACTTGAAATAAACTGCAATTATTTTACACCAACTTACTGCATTGATTCGAGCATTTTCAATTTCCACCGTTTTCAACCGACAACCATGTGTGTAAATATTTTTCTCATTTGTATACAACAGATTAATTTGATTGATCAGCTTTTGCATATAATCCATTTCAAACGTAGTAGTTTGTTTTTGTGATAGCTTCTGTCAATGTTCAATGATAATAATAATAATAATAATAATAATAATGATATAAACTAAGTGGGTGATTGGACGACTAAAATCAATTACAACCATGTTATTTAGATGTCATCTTAGCCAGATTTGACATGATCATCTCAACTAAATTGAACACTGAACGGAGAAGTTATCAATAATTTTCTGACATTACGTTCCCGTGGCCGAAGGATTTGGAGGACGGAGATTTGCGGAGAGTCCTGGAGGAGTTTGAGGCGGCGGTAAAGCTGGTGGATGTGAAGGGGCCCGGGGCGGAGATGGCGGTGCTGAGGACGCTGCGGGGAGGTGAGGCGAAGGCGGTATACGACAGCCTGGACGGTGCCGCCAGGAAGACGGCGTGGGAGACGGTCACCGGGCGGCTGATGACGGAGTACGACAGACCAGTGGACAGGGAGGAGGCGCCACAGAGGTTCCAGTTGGTGAGGCTGTCGGCTGATGATGACCCGTTGGTGCTGGCTGTAGAGCTCACGATGTTGCTGCGCCGTACGCTGCCGAGTATGGATGGGAAATCGGGGGCACAGCTGTTGGCGTCGTAATTTATCGAGAGTGTGCCTGCCGCCGTGTCACAGCAGCGGGAACTAGTAAACGCTACACGTTGGATGGATGCCGTACCCATTACAGACCAGCGGGCAAGAACAATGACCGAAGTAGTAATCCGGCATATTGTAGCGCGTCACGGAATACGGAAGGTGATATTAACTGACCAGGGTCCCTGGACAACAGCTTATTAAAAGGGGGGACGAGTGTGGTGCGAGCTACTTATAAGTAGTATATGACGTGAGTGTCAACCTAATGTCTGGCAGCAGAAGATGGGGGAAGATCAAGAAAGGAAGAGTTAGAACACAATGGAATTTTTGTATGAAACGCATGAATAGTGACAATGGATTGATGTTTTGCAACAGGAACAGTCCAGTTCGATATGGTGGACTGATATTTTGCAAATGAACGATTTACGATATGGTTTTCCAATTTTACTGAGTAACTTTGTAATTTTCGCTAAATACAATCCGGTTGCCCCAACTGTGTTCACGTTCACTACAACGTGACTAACAATACAAAAGCAAGAATTACTTGATACAATCAGTTAATCTATCAAAACAACACGTCTGATCAAGTCAATGTGATCATGTCACTCTAGTCAATGTATTTCATATGAATCTTTAAATCAGTGAATCTGACATAGGCAATTCAAGATGTTTGAAAGGGAAATCTAAACAAAACACTGAGAAATAGAAACAATATTGAATGTAGTGAATTGCTAACAAGCATTATGGAATTGTAGAGATTGAAAAGTTGACCAGCGAAACCATGAATCGATCAAGTGTTGGACCACCATCAGAAACGTGGAAGCACTGAACGATGGCCATTTCGACCTGGTATCTGACGATGTTAATGTCTAACTCCCATCAATTCACGGTCTTGCACAACCTCATACACTAACTTCGGTGAGCACTGCTTCACACTCGAACAGGGTCGGACTCCACTGGTCAGCAGTACGCATCCATGACTACAACAATGAGCAGGATTCGAACCCAGGACTAAAGCCTAACCTTCGAACCACTTAGCCGGTATCTACCGATCTTAATGTATAACTTCCAATAAATTCATGGTCTTTCGCAGCCTCATATACTGTCTTCAGTGAACACTGCTTCACACTCTAACAGGGTTGGACTCCACTGGTCAGCCGTACGTATCCATGAACCCCACATGCGGTAATTGAACCCAAGTGTAGGCAGTTACCTATTTAAGATATTTGAAGAGGCTGGGTATTACCTTGAAGTGATTAGAGCTAGACATTAGTATAGCTGGATACCAGCTCAGTGGTCTGGAGGTGAATTAGTCACGCGCGAGGCCGGAGATCTATTGTTCTGTTTCCACAAGCGAAAGTCATGAGTGCACATCGCTGTTGAGTAGTCTCATACTAGAATAAAATAGCCGTCTTTCAGTGTTTCCAGGTTTCTAAAGGTGGTCTAACAATGATTGATTGACGATTTCAAATATCTCATATATCCAAACGAATAATCGATAAAAATGTGACCAAATTTCAGGCAAAATACATTTTTTCAAATTACGGCATGTTTTATGAATTTAGTAGGATTGTTTGTAATCTAACGAATTGTTAATATCATGATGATTGATTTGAAATATTCACTTCGGAAATGAAATCGTGAGAACAATGAGAGAGGAATTACGTATTATATAAAATAAACATGAATGTAGGTAGTATGGATTAGTGACTAGCGATGGGTTCTGAATAAATTTCTCGAAGCATTTACAAGTCAATCAGTCAGTCAGTTATAACGTAGAAAAGAACACAAAGGATGAATGCACCTGCGTCGTGGCAAACGATTTTGAGTCATGCCGTTCTAGGGCTCTGACAATCGATAACACTCGTCTGGCGTACCTCAACCAGGTGTTCTACACTTCCCAACACGACCCAGTCCAGTTGTCAGTGACCTCATGGGTTTGTTCTGCGTTTTGGTTTGAACGCCCATAACTTTCTTCCAACCTATTCACACACCAAAAAACAGCTCGCCGGGGTAGTCGGTGGTTGCACATTTGTAACATATGTCCCAACCACCTCAACTGATGGAGTTTCACTACTTCATCTGTTGATCTGCCATCCTTACCTTGTACGCGTTTCCTAACATCAGCATCGCTTACTTGGTTGTCCCGCGATACACGAGCAACGCTTAGGAGACACATATTTACAAGAGTTATGATAATATTTTGATAAGACTTGTGAATAAGTTTAAGTAAGGAAAATCTTAAAGATAGAAGTTGTCTGAAAGCATTATTCAGATTATTATTATTATTATTATAGTCAAAATGACTGTAAACTAGAAGTTAGTGCCTGAGGTAAAAGGACTAGCTGAATATATTTCTTCTAAATGGAAGACTTTGGCTATTTGCATTTGAATAGCTATTGCTACAGCCGTCTTCAGAATCTCTAGTGTCGATGGATTGTGAAACGATATATATATTATTTTGCCTTAAACCTGGTCACTTCTTTTTGCGCATGATTCTCGTTTGTCCATCTAATTAACATATTACAGGAATAAAGCTGAAACGATGATCATCCGAACTGTTTGACCGTGAACAAATTAACTCCAGAAACCAGATATTGCCACGTCTTAGAGACCTGGTTGCGTGACCGCAGAGCCCAAGGAACAACTGCTTGAGGCCGGTCACGCACGGTCTTTTGATGAAAGGTTTTTTTAGTATTAGCTCCGCTCTTGAAAGCCCTTAGTGGACATCCTTACCGCCGGAGACGGAAATCCATGATGTAGGGTGAGGTGTGACATTTTTAGGGTCGACCTTTTCTAACCCTTCCTTCCTTCCTTGTGAGAAGGCAACATCGCTGCAGATGCTGATTGTCCGAGGGAAACACCTTACTGCTGTCACACCTCTCGGCAGTTAACACCTCTCTGCAGTACTGACTGACTGACATGGACGCTGGTAATTGTCTCGTTGACTTTTATCGACTAAGGTGAACTGGTAATAGCTTCAAGCGTAAACTAGTGACGAACCTAACATTTTTTAATAATGTTCTAACAATCAGTGATTGATTCATGATTGCAAATAAACAAGAATAGACAAGAATCTCTGTAACTCTATAATGAAAAATCAATTTATCTAACAAGAACAACATTTACCAAAAAAATGAAACATACTCACTAAATCAAAATCAAGTTTTTTATTCGTGTCGGTCAATCGATTTATTTCAGTTTCCAATGAACGAATATCTTGATTCATTTCTAATGACAAAAGACAATAATAATAATAATAATAATAATAATAATAATAATAAGATATTTTGGGGTAGAGTTTTGGAGGTTTGCGTTTTTACACATTTGAAATCTGAATAGAGAAATAAGAAGACATATTTTGTGAGATAGTACCATTTCGTGCTTTCTCGTCAGTCACATACAAGCAACATGTTATTTGTGTAAATACAGTTTTGAAGATAAGGTCAAAATTTCTTATTTAGCATGACAGTCACTCACTAGAACCATGTAATCAAAACCCACACACACACTGAAACTACTCGAAGCTATCTTGATTGGTCGGAAAAGTCCAACTTTATGTGTTCAAAAACAACTGTATGTTGACCTTTGTTTACCTTGGTTCTAGTGAGTGAATGTCATGCTAAATAAGAAATTTTGACCTTATCTTCAAAACTGTATTTACACAAATAACATGTTGCTTGTATGTGACTGACGAGAAAGCACGAAATGGTACTATCTCACAAAATATGTCTTCTTATTTCTCTATTCAAGTTTATCAAAGGGAACCACTGTTTTGAACATTTGAAATCATCAATCAATCATTGTTAGACCACCATTAGAAACCTGGAGGCACTGGACATTAACACCGTTGGATGCCGGCCCGGTGGTCCGATGGTAAGGCGTTCGCCTACAATGCCGAAGGTCCTGGGTCCAAATCCTGCGGAGCTCAGGAGTCGTGGATACGCACTGCCACCGATGAGTCCCATACCAGGACGAAACGGCCGTCCAGTGATTCCAGGATTCTAATGGTGGTCCAACAATGATTGACTGATGATGTAATAATAAAAAGACATAATTTTACTATCAACCAATAATCTTTAAATTTTCACCATAAACATATGCTGAATTTGAAAATATTTGAACATTTCAGAAAGTTTACAAACAAATAATTTGTTATCATTGGCAATGATAGTACTGATTAAAATCATCATGCAAGGATCAGTTGTCATTGAAGAACATGTCTGGAAATCAAAACAACTGCTAACCAACCATAAATTGATAATTTTTAATAGAAACTTCAAGACAGTTCAGCTATATCACAGTCAGTCAATCCTTTACAACGTAGAACTTCGTAAGTACGCATCACTGAAGACGCTGGTTGTCTGAAGGAAACACCTTACTGCTATCACACTCCTCTACAGTCAGCAGTATGACTTCTCCCTCAGACCTTGAGTTGCTGCTGCAAGACCTACTAGCTCGTCAAAGTAGCAGCTTCGGTCGAGTTCTACTTTATGAAGCGGAAACATGGAGAACTATGATAGGCATCATCTACAAGATACAAGTATTCCTTAACATTTATCTATACAAAATACTGAGGATCTGTTGGCCAAACATTATCAGCGACAACCGACTAGTTGATTTGATTTTGACGAATTCGGTCTCGCGTTCTGTTACGGGTATGAGGGCGGTTGTCAATTCCCGGCGGACCACACCATGGATGGGTGTTTCTTGAGGAACCTGAAAAGGAAGGTGGATTAGAGTTGGTCTTAGAGACCTGGTTGCATGACCGCAGAGTCCAAGGGACAACTGCTTGAGGCCGGTCACGCACGGCCTTTTTATGAGAAGTTTTTTGAGTATTAGCTCCGCTCCTGAAAGCCCTTAGTGGGCACACTTATCGACGGAGACGGAAATCCATGAAGTAGAAGTGAGGTGTGAGAATAACACTTAACGCTCTATGTAAGCTTCCTAATTGTTCAAAAGTAACAGTCAGTGAAGTTTTTCCCATTGCCACTGATCTATCTACACTGCAACGTGATTACAACAGAAAAGGCATGAAGAGTACAACGCGATGAACGCATTACTTCAAGGTTTAGGTTATGTGCAGAAAATATGAGGTTGTTTATAGCATCACTTATGATCATGGACTTCTCTTATAGGAGATTGTAGAACCAACCATATTGAATCTATTCGTAGGATGAATAAATATATCCAATCAGAATTGTGGCATGTGATTTTTTTGTGCGCGTTTTGCAAAAATATATTTTTTCTTCGAATGTTCTCTATTGAATAGCTTACTGATTAGAGATGAATGGATATGTAGGTAGGTATATATCATAGTTATCATGTGATTTATTTACTTGCTTGCTTTCAAAATATCAATATCAGATTTGCATAATTTTTCATACTGAGTAATATCTAACAGTGATTGAATAACTTACTTAGATGTATAAATATATATTTACAATAGTTAAGCATGCATTTCTAAATCTAACTAATTAACTAAGGTCTTATCATTTTAATTAATTCTTTCTGAAAATGTACCTGAATTTTTATAAACAACCGCAAGAAATCGATTGCTCTAGTTATTTGCATTTCAACTGGATTAAGCCGTTACTCATTATGTCATAAGTAAATAAGCAAACTTATCCCTACTCTACATGATAGAGTTGTGAAGATTGTTGTTGAGTTTCGTAGGAATGATATGAATCGATCATTAGGAAGGAGCCCGGAAGCACTGTAGAAGGCAACCGTTTCTTTCAAGTTTGAGACTACACATCAACAATGCATAACCACGATCGCCGCCCACAGGATTCGGACCGAGGACCATTGGTCTCGTTTAACTAATAATCTATCTATATTCATCTACTTGAACTTACAGGAGTTATTATTGTTGTTACATAAACCGACAGTCAGTCACTCAGTCAGCAAAAATGTAGAACTTCGTATGTACGTGCATCAGTTCAAGTTGTCATACCTCATCAGCACAGAGTGATAGCGATAATAGAAGTATTAGCAGTAATCGAGAAGATTAGGTAGCGAAGATATGATTCGAGAAGTATATTTCAGTGAAATAAATTTGAAAAGGGAAGGATAAATGTGATGAGGAATTCAGAAGATTAGGATTTGAGAGAACACAAAGAACAGATGTACCTCCGACAATGCAAACGATTTTGATCCATGTCAATCAAAGTCTCTAATCATCGATTACAATCATCTCGCTGACCCCAACCAGGTAGTCGACACCTACTGACATGACTCAGTTCAGTTGTCAGTGTGTCACGCCTGCAACGTAAACATGTCATTTTGATATGTTTGAACTATTACGAGTTTACCTTAGTCGGAAACACGATAGCGAGGATCGAGAAACCGGCAACACGATATGCTACCCAAATCCGATTATCCCAACCCCCAATATTGAGTAAAAACAAGAAGACTTGATATGAAGTAGAACCCGTATTCTACAAACATTCAGAAAGTACGAGCTCCGAGTCCCAAAGAGAATCAGGATCCCAAACTAGGGATCCGGAACCGATCCCTGGTCCTGGTCGTGGTCATAAATTGTTACAGTTACATTTTGGTCGAATAGGAAACAGCATCGAATTCTGTGGCATTGACAGTTAAGATGACCAATAGGAAGTAACATTTGAAATGACATTGACAGTCCGGATGACCAATAAGAGACAACATTGAAGTATTTGACTTTGACAGTTAAAACGACCATAATTTTGACCAATAGAAATCGACCAATAGGATTTGACCAATAATTCTCTTAGGATATTATTGGATGAATATCCTAACACAGTGATTTCATGGAATTTTGCCATGTTTTGGTCTGGCCACCCGTACCTTTCTTTCAGCCAACTACCACACCATAAACCATCGCTCATCGAGGCAGTTGGCGGCGGTTGGTCAAACATAACACATGTCCCAACCATTTCAACTTACAAAGATTCAGTACTTCATCAACTGATTTTCCATCTTTACCTAAGAATCTTTTTTTCTAACAACTAACTACATTTTCTTACTCATTTTTGTCTGACTGATATCAATGTATACATCCACATTGGACAACTTATTATACACAGCTAATGATTAGTTTTGTTTATGTAATAAATTTGACCACATAACTAACTCATTAACATTTTTTTGGTCTGAATAATAATTATAAATAAACAAAAGCCATGAAATCCTTAAGTGTATACTACTCTCAGTTTAGTTAATATAAAATGAATACAGATTATCACCGTATTAAAAAAAGGTTTGCATCACATGATCAAAAATTAATTTACAAAGTGTTTTAGAGCGTCAATGTTAAAAGAGAGAGAGTGAGAGTAAAGCAGTATGATAGAGCTCTGTATAATTGGTATTCTTGAATAAATATGATGAGCATGTTACTGTACTCTGTCTTTGTTTTGCCATGAATTATCAGCATGTTTTGTACATCCCCATCCACGTAACTCTGTGTATGAGTGTAGTCTGCATACTTACTTACTTACGCCTGCTACCCCCAATGGAGAATCGGCCGCCCACCAGTTTTCTCCAACTAACTCTGTCCTGGGCTTCCCTCTCCAATTCTGTCCAATGTTTTTTCATTCCTCTCATATCTTTCTCTATTTCTCGGCGTAATGTATTCTTTGGCCTTCCTCTTTTCCTCCTGCCTTGAGGGATCCATATGAGGGCTTGTCTTGTGACGCAGTTAGGTGCTTTTCGTAATGTGTGTCCTATCCACTTCCACCTCTTCTTCCTGATTTCCTCCTCCACTGGTATATAGACTACCGACCAAGATACTCCAATCATATCTATGCTCCGCAGTCCGTTCCAGTTATTGCCATGTTGCTATTCACTCTACTGATATCCGACGAAATATGTTCTTACACATTTGAAATCATCAATCAATCATTGTTAGACCACCATTAGAAACTTGGAAGCACTAGACATTAACACAGTTGGAAGCTGGCCCAGTGGTTCAATGGTTTGGCGTTCGCGCACAATAACGTAGGTCCCGGGTTCGAGTCGTGTCAGGTGCAGGAGTCGTGGATGCGCACTGCTGATGAGTCCCATACCAGGACGGGACAGCCGCCCAGTGCTTCCAGGTTTCTAATGATGGTCTAACAATGACTGATTGATGATTTCAAATGTGTAAAAACGCTAATCTCCATAACTCTAACTGAGAAACATGTTCGTTGGACTTTCTCCTTTCGCCTTTACGTTGATTATTCCATGTAAGGGTTAGCTTGTGATGAAGTTTGGTGATTTCCACAATGTGTATCGCTACCCATTTCTAGCTCAAAACAGAAGTTCTTATTAGTCCTAGGTAAAACTTTTTATGAAGAATCTCGTAAAACATTAGCTACTTTGTTTAGTAGAGTTAAACCTACCAAGGTAAGTTTTTATTTAAACTATGTGTAAATACAAGTATTTAGTAACAGTGGTCTATGCATAATACTTCGGACCCATTGCCTAGACACTATCATCAACAACCGCCTGTGAGAATGAACATACTAGATTCCAGTGGAGGAAGAAATGAGGAAGAAGCGAAGGAAATGGATAAGCCACATATTGAGTGAGGTGCCCAACTGCATCTCGAGACAAGTCCTTACTTGGAACCCTCGTGGACAAATTAAGGTCAAGGAATACTTCACGTAGAGAAATGGAGACAGATATGAGAAGGATGAACAAGCAGGTTAGAGAATACTGGTCGGCAGCTTGTGCTCCAGTGGGGGTAACAGGCGTAAGTAAGTAATTATGTAAAACGTTTCAGTAACTCAACAAAATGATTGGATAGAACTGTTTATCGTCCTACCTACAGAGTATCTTAGAAATGATCCGCACATACAAATGAAGCCTAAGAACCTTTTATTAAGTTGACTTTATGTTCACGAAGACCTTAGTTAGTCAGTCAGTTATTTGATAAATCAGAAATCTTAATGTCTCATTAGTAAATTTTACATTAAGTAGGTGACTTCATTATCATACGAATAGATCACCTTTGGGTAACACATGATGTTTTCAATAACTACTGTTTCACATTTTCCACATTTCACTGTTACGATGTGTGGTGTCTGAGAACTGAATTTGATAGTATGAACAAATATCTTCCGATGTAGTTATATATATCTCATTACTTTCTAATAAATAGCCAGAGATTTTAGCAACACTATAGATAGTTTTTTACAGAATTATAGAAACTGTTAAATCGTTCGCACGCAAGACCGAAAGTCCTAGGTTCGAGTCTCGCGAGTGGCAGGAGTCGTGAATGCACACTGCTGATGATGAATACAGATAGTAACGAAGTATTTCTCTCTTTTAAAATAAATGCTTTGTATGAAAAAAAAGAGTGTTTACAGCATTAAAAACTTTGTAGGGTGTAAATAGTTTTTTTCTGAACATACACTTACCAACTTGCAACGACTTGGTTTCCGCTTCAACAACTTCAATTCTTTTTACTTTTGCGTCTAATTTCTCTAATACTGGCAAATCATCTTGAATGGTTTTATCCATTTGTTGACACATTCCAACGGATTCATCTAATAATTTACTAAGTGCTAAAAATAAGAATAAAAGTATATTAACTTCGTTTGAATATTAACGAATTCGATTTATTGTGTTTTATAAGAATGAAAGACAGAAATGCAAGATTTTTATCCAACCAACTGGTTGCTCATTAAGTTGGGACATTCAGTTTTGAAATTTCAGTTATGGATGTTGCCTTCTTTTCTAGTTAGTGCCTTCTTAGCGAGTTGGTATTTTGTGGGATGAAGTCGCGAACCCCATAGCCATTCCTCCTCCTTAAACCCGAAATTGAGACAGCCAGAAACTCCGGAAGGGCTCCAGGCGGAGTTCAGAGCTCTTGTGACACAGTTGGATGTTTTACTCAATGTATGGTGTACCTGTATCCAGCACCTTTTCCTAAGAAATTAGGGGAAATCACTAGAGGCTGATTTAGGAAAGCATGCAAACGCGTTAGAAAGCATAGCCTCAAGGCAAAAAGAGAACAGGAAGACCAAAGGACACATTAGGCCGAGAAGTGCAAGTGAACATAAAAGAATGAACAGCAACTGAGTAAAACTGGAATGGAAGAACCAGGACAGAGTAGGTTGTAGAATGCTGATCGGTAGCCTATGCTCCATACGAGGTGACAGTTGTAAGTAAGTAAGTCAGTAATCTTTTGGATTAAAGTAGTGACATCTGTGACAGTACTGTTTCCAAATCCATCAGTTTGCTGTGTATTTGTGTTTCGTTTCCAACTGGCATTTATCAATGTTATACATCTGCAGTCTACAAAAGAATCGATGCAGTTTGTAGGATTATAACAGTAAGTTGTACAAACTAGAAGTCATAAAGCAAGTTAGTGGATAGAATTTTACCAGAACAAAGCAGCTAACAGTATGACATTAGTTGATGTAATGTCAGGAGATGCATCCCAATGATAGTCAGTAACCAACATTAAGTTCATACGCCTTCTTTTTCCTCGGAGTACTTGGAGCATATGTGCTCAAGTGGTTTGGAACCAGGATTCACCAACTCCCACAAAGATGAATTATTCGTAATCATCAACCTGGTTTATGCCCCAACTGGATATTTGCTTTCCGTCCTCTTAATTTCATAAACACCTGTGCTACGAGAGGGCGATGAGTTGGACGTTCTTCAATCTCGGCCGTATCAGGCGGTTTTTAGGCTGCTTTGGTCTACTATAGGATTCCACAGCACTGTGCATCCACGACACCACAAGCGAGAATCAAATCCAGTACTTTTCGTTACCCAGTCCAGCGATCGACCTCTGCATGACTCACTGAGTTTGCATCCGATGCTGTTGTACATGTCTAACTTCAATCAGTTCACAATAGTATCTGACCATCTTCTTGTTATTTTCGGTTAGTACCTTCTTCACACCAAATATGGTTGAACTCCACTGGTCACACCTCACTAGGACTGTGGAAATTTCCTGCACAAGCTAGTTTCTAGTGGCTACATGATGACTGGCAGTATAAATAGTATCTTAGTTTTCAACGGTTGTCCAAATTTCGTTAGTTTAATGAGATGCTTGCTACTTGTTGGACTGCCTAGTAGTTACATAATCGTATGTATTTATAAAATGTGTGTGTTTGCGTGTGAATTTACTGCCCAATTTAATCTAATTCCCATTATCAATTATTCATAGTTATAATCTATTGTGATTGGTTATAAAAAGCAGGCAACTCTATTTAATGTTTTTATCGATTTTTCAAGTTCAATTTTTTTTTCCGTAGTTTAAGTTTATCCATACTGCTATGACCTTGATTAAGCTATTCATCTGTTCATTGTTCAATTCAACATAATGTGAATGCATCAATTGAATTTAAAAACAATAGGAATTTTTCTACAGCTAATCAGTGATGGAAGAGTATTTTCTACAGATTAGTTAGTTTACAGGTTAGATTGAGTTAGGATTTGAATTAGAAGAATAACGTGAATATACTTTTTTATGCTCGTCAATTGATATGCTTGAATGCTATTACAAGTTCTCCTTAGTCGGTAAATGAGAGCGAAGACAAATGATCCAGTGACATGATAGGCTACTCTAATCCGAGTGTCCGAATGACCCAACTAAGTAGAGGAAGAAGTTTTGATATGGTGTAGAAAGTATATTCTACTAGCACCCAGAAAATCGAGGTTTTTAAACACAAGAATCGATTTTATTAATACATCACAGAAACGTCCTTCGGAGAACCAAAAAAATAGCGTACTAAAATAACACATCAACCAACGACAGTCAAGGATATTCCGGGTTGGAAATGTAATCTCAAGGTCAACTGATCAGCCCATGCGCGTAAGTGTAAAATCCAAAATTAAGACTTTATCAAGTGATTTCTGGGGAAAAGAGAGAGTGCTTATCGACAAAAAGTTTGCTGAGGGACTGGACAGTAGCATCGAATGATCGGTCACGTGAGTTCTGAGGCAGGATGTAGTTGCAATACTGGTCCAGTTCTGACGGACCAAGTTTTCTAAAGAGAAGATGCACCTTCCAGGATTCATCCCTGTCAGCAAAATCAACTTTGAAGAGGTCTTCATAGCGCCTGAACCAAGTATCAAATGTAATATTGGCGTCAGGATCATAAAGAAACTCCGAAATACCACTGGTCATACCATTAACTAACTGAGGAATAGTCAGTGTAGATGAGACTTGAGAAGAGCTGTGCGTCCAAGTAAGTATCTCCATCGATTTCAGCTGTTGTGCAAACAATTTTTCTAATTTAGCTGCATTATTCATAATTCACCAGATCGTTTGTCAAAACGCCGTCGCCAAATTGTTATGCTCGTCTCTAGGTGTGCTTAAACTATTACGAGTTCACCTTAGTCGAATAACGAGAACAATACAATGAACCAGCGTCCAGGTAGGCTACTGTGATCCCTTGACCAAACTGAATCAGCAAGAAGTCTTGATATAGTGTAGATACTGTATTCTACAAACACCCAGCCAGCACACAATGAATCCAACCAGTGAAATTGCGTTTATTTATACTCTACAGAGACGTCCTTGGGACAGTCACAAAAATAGCACACTAAAATGACACAGTAACCAATCACAGATAAGGATTTTCGTGGTGGGAAATGTGATCTCAAGGTCAACTGATCGGTCCATGAAATAAATCCAAGATAAAGATATTTATCAAGCGAGTTCTGGGGATCTAACATCCCCAACATACTTTAAAAAAAAGTCAGTCATTTTTTTAACTGAGTATAAAACAATGCACAATCCTCATATTTATTTTACAAATGTGTTAAACTTACAAACAATTTTCTCTATGGTATGCATCCTTTCCAGATCATGATGTTCTTTTTCAACTTTCATAGTGGATTGAATTTCCGCAAATTTTTCTTTGTTACTATCAGTTTGTTTTTCTAGATCAGTTTTCTGACAATGTGTGAATTTAAAATTGAAACATGAATGAAATCAGTATGAATTTTTGATTAGTTCATTAGATTTACGTAAGAGATTTCACATCAACAAATGGGAAATTGAGAAATAACAACCATGTTGAACTTGTGAACAACCATTAAAAACCTGGAAACACTGAAAGACGTCCATTTTTATCCTAGTGTAGTGGATGTGTTATGCCTGCATTTAAACACGTCAACTTGATGTGCTTGAACTATTACGAGTTTACCTACTCGGAAACGAGAGCGAGGATCGAGGATCCAGCGACACGACATGCTACTCAAACCCGATTATCCCAAACCCCATATTGAGTAAAAATAAGAAGACTTGATATGAAGTAGAACCTGTATTCTACAAGCATCCAGAGAGTACGAGGTCCGAGTCCAGAAGAGAATCAGGATCCCGGACTAGGGATTCGGGACCTGGTCCTGGTCATAAAAGGATGTAAGCTAAACAATTCTATGGCAGTCGTTCTTCGATATAATTACTTAGACTTCGTAAAGTGCTCGTCAAGATAACCGTTACTAGATAACGCCCAACGGTGAATATATCAGAAGACGAATACGAAGCATTGATCACGTTTATTATCGCACCACACACAGATCATAAAACCATGAAGCACATGAAGCGATCTTTAAAGAGTAAGCGAATCAGTGAGCCTGTGAGTGCGCCTTCTCTGTTTCGCTTTCCTTCGCTCTTATGCTTTTCATTCTGGTCTGTCTGCTTAAATGAGTATACACGAACGATTGCTTGAAATAAACCCATCGAACGGAATCTGTTTTTGACTTCTGAGCTCAATAGGCAAACGTCACTTAGTGGTGGTATTTTATTCTCTGAGCTGGATGTTTCGGTTGTGAAACTTTCATTGTTCTTTTTATGAACAACGTCATCAGCACAAACTTCAGATAGCAGAAGTGAAGTATTCGAATTTCTTCACGTCTGACCCGTCGCTTTTTCCTGATTGGTTGCTGTTGACCTTAACTCTGTCGTTGTTTGCGTCTTTGTTTTGACTGTATCCCTCTTTGATCTGTTTCTTGATCCTGTTTGCGTATGATTTTTGTTATTGGTCGATAAATTGGGTCAATATCGATGTATTTATTGATAACCGATTTACCTGAGTGCCAAACTTGTAAAAATTCTCCAGTGTTATTTGTGCTACCCCTATCCAGTATTCCCAAGATTGTTCGGAGATTAAAGCAGAGATTTCATAGCATGCCCGAGCGTCATGAATAAAAGAGTCAGCCCATGGGCCACTAAGGTAGTAAGTAAGCCCTACCTGAAGTTCAGCTCAGCCACACTAGTATGGGACTTATTTGCAGTGCGCATCTACCGACCTTCGCCTATATGTTTTACACGTTTTGTGAAAATTAAGAACTAAGAGGTTCAAAATAATCGAAGTTACTCCTGTCAATGCACTTGGTTGCTTAAAAGATTGGAATCATATTTTTTGGGCGATGTTAAAGCCTCAGAAATCGCTTGATAAACTTCTTAATTTTGTAGTTTATTTATGAAAATTTGAATCGCCTATTTTCGCGCCAAAAGCGCTCCTTATTAACATCAGTTAATATTGCTCACTTGGTAAGATCGTGTGTTCGTGTGTTCTCTCTTTGAGCATACTATTACTTGACATTTTGTATGATTGCATATATCACGATTGAGTGCTTGTTGCTCGTTCATCCTGGTCTGCTTGTGGGTAATATATTCTTCCAGCTAACTTTGGGCTTCCTCCATTAGTTAGTTGGACTAGGATGCAGAGGAATAGCTCAGCTTATCCTGTGTTATTAAATCGCTGTTATGTCGTTCATACCATAAACATAGAATTTTCGTTCAACTTCAAAAATACACTGAAATTTTTAATGACATCACTACCTTGAGAGATATTCATTGGAGTTTATCCGAAAATCAATTCATCAAATTGTTATATCTGCCGTCTCAAATAAACTCGATCAGTCATGAATACAAGGTAGTCAAAATAATACCAGTGTTCAAATATCCGACACTTGACACAATCTTGTAACACTTACATCGTTTTCTGAAATTAATGCGTCAAAATGAGAGTTTGCGTGATCTTCGCAGCTTGACTAACTAACCGGCTGCATCTTACACTGTTATGATACACAATGTGACACGTGTTCAGACACAGACAGACAGATATAACGCAGAACTTTTTACGTATATGTACATCAGTTCAGGTTGCCATACCACATCGACACAGAGACGTAACTGTCAGTTCAAATCCAAGAGTGATATAGCAATAATAGAAGTATATTAGCAGTAACGGAGAAGATTAGGGAGCGAAGATATAATTCGAGAAGTATAATTCAGTAATCATCATCAATCAATCATTGTTAGACCACCATTAGAAACCTGGAAGCACTGGACGGCAGTTTCGTCATGGTATGGGACTACTCATCAGCAGTGTGCTTCCACGACTCCTGCTCCTCGCAGGATTCGAACCAGGGACCTTTGGTATCATAGGCGAACGCCTTACCATTGGCCCCAAAATAATTTACTAAGATAAATTTAGAAGGAGAAAGGTAAAGATTATTTGTTCAAATCCCATAGAGAATGTCAATTTCTCTCACAGAACTGTCGTCAAAAGTACTAGATGGCATAAAAAAACTGAGTTCAATGCTTTCAACACGCGAATGTGAATCATATTTCAGTGAGTAACAGCATTCACCACTATTATTATTATCATTTCTGATATTGATCACTTTTGTGATTTCCAATAATAAATAAATTATTTTTATCTGATCAAACACAACTCATTATCAACTTATCACACTGAATTCATCCTATCATTCATTGTTCAATTATTATCAATGCCTTGTGTGTGTGTGTATGTTTATAGTTACTTTTGTATTGCGCGCAAAAAAAAATTCAAAAACTACACAACTATTCACAATGAAATACAACAATGTTTAATTGAATTGATAAAAATGAAGGTCACAATTATAATAATTAAATAGTTCATTTGAAAATATAATATTCAAGGCATGAACAATTAAAATGCAATTTTAATTTCTCTCAATTGTTTCATTCAAACAGATTGCATGAATAGTTTGGATTTAGATCGTTCAATCTTCAATACATGTAATTATCAGCTAAGACGATGCGATGAAATTGCTGGAGTGTTATGTTTATGTATGAATATGCGCGCATGTATTTGTATTACACAACATGTAATAATGTAAATTAGCTAGCTAGTACAAAGCTGTATTCAAAAACTGAAAACTGTTAGGATATTCATCCAATATCCTAAGAGAATTATTGATCATTTACTATTGGTTAATTCCTAATGGTCAATTTTATGGTCGTCAGCACGGATACAGAAAGCTCGATTGGCTTTCGCCAATCTGGGTCACTTATGGCGTAGGCGAGATATCCCTTCGCTGACCAAAAGGACGGGTGTACTGCACAGCAGTTCGTTCCGTTCTCTTATATGGCTGTGAAACATGGCCAGTGAGAGTAGATGTTCGTAGGTTACTAGTATTCGATCATAGATGTCTTCGAAGCATTGCTCGTATATCGTGGGACAACCGAGTAAGCAATGCTGTTGTTAGGAAACGGGTGCTAGGTAAGGATGGTATATCACTAGATGAAGTGGTGAAACTTCATCAGTTGAGGTGGTTGGGACATGTGTTACGAATGCCTAACCACCGACTGCCACCACGAGCTATGTTTTGTGGTGTAGAAGTAGGTTGGAAGAAAGTGAGGGGCGGGCAGAACAAAACATGGCACAAATCCATGAAGTCACTGACAAGTGGACTGAGTCATGTTGGTAGATGTAGACTACCTGGTTGGGGTCCGCAAGACGAAAGTCACCAATAGTTAGAGACCTTGAACGACATGGCTCAAAATCGTTTGCAGTGGCGCGAGTGCATCCATTCCTTGTGCTCTCTCAAATCCTAATCTTCTGGATTGGTCAGCACCTCTACCTTTGTCTTTCTTTTCTAATCTTATCTCACTGAATTATACTTCTTGAATAATATCTTCAAGCCCTAGTCTTCTTCATTACCATTAAAACCTCTTCTATCTTTATCACTATGGGATTTGATTTGAAATTTGTGTCTCTGTGCTAATATGGTATGGCAACATGAACTTATGTACATACGTACGAAGTTCTACGTTGCAACTGACTGACTGACTATGGTCATCCTAGATATCAATGTCACGTGCTCCAATGTTGCTTCCTATTAGTCGTCCTAACTGTCAATGTCACAGACTTCGATGCTGTTTCCTATTCGACAAAAATGTATAAATACGCGTTAGGTGTAACTTTTTATCATCAGGACCCGGTCGCGGATCCCTAGTCCGGGATCCTGATCCTCTTCTGGATTCGGACCTCGTACTTCCTGGACGCTTGTAGAGTACTGGTTCTACTTCATATCAAGTCTTCTTAATTTTACTCAATATGGGGGTTGGAAGTATGTAGCATGTCGTGTTGCTGGATCCTCGATCCTCGCTCTCGATTTCTGACTAGATAAACTCGTAATGGTCCAAGTATATCAAGTTGACGTGTTTCTGTGCAGGCGTATTACTAGGACAACTGAGTATGCAATGCTGTCGTTAGGAAACGAGTACTAGGTAGGGATGGCAAATCAGTAGATGAAGTATTGAACCGTTCTTGAGTTGAGGTGCTACGAATGCCCAACCACTGCCTGCCTCGACGAGCTATATTTTTTGGTGTAGGAGAATGTTAGAAAACAAGTTGACGTGTTTACGTGCAGGCGTAACAAAAACTAATCTGAAATTAAAACCAGTTCAATCTTCCAATCTTATTCTAGCTGTTAAAATGATCAGATGTAAAATATGCTTAAGAGATATGGGTTCTAATTCACGTTTATAGAGAGCAGGCTTTTCAGTTTCTTAGTTAAATCGTTTAAGTGTTAGAACTATTGTCTGAATATTCAATGGTGAATTGCGAATTTAGTCACATATATTTGAAACCATGAATCGATCAATGTTAGACCACCATTAGAAACCTGGAAGCACTGCAAGACGGCCGTTTCGTCCTGGTATGGGACTCCTCAGCAGTGCGCATCCACGACACCTGCACCCCGCAGGGTTCGAACCCAGGACCTATGGTCTTGTAGGCGAACGCTTAACCATCGGACCACTGAGCCGGTAGCTAAATGGTGTTAACGTCTAACTTGATCAATTCATGGTTTCAAAAATGTGTAACTTAACAATCTTCACAACCCCGTGATGCACATATATTTGAGTTTGCGAGTTTGTTTACCTGTAATTCGGTTAAGACCCCTTGTATGAACTTATTTAACCGAGAGAGAGAGAGAGAGAGTTATTCGAAAAGCAACAAGATATTTGTAGCATTGTACTTTTATCATTATCGAGTTTGTTTGTATAAGCATGCATGCTTCGGCACTGGTTACTGCCTATGCACATATTCATTCTGCTAGCTTTAATGTTAATTGCTTGAATAATAATTCAGTGACTCATTTATTTTCCCACATATCAGTCGTTCCTCAGCATTCGTATATCGTTTCGCTTTCGTGTCGTATGCACAAGTTCATGAAGTGAACTGAGTTATTTTGGTAGATGTAAACTATCTGGTTGGGGTCCGCGAGACGATAGTGCAGGTGCATCTACTCTTTGTGTTATTTGAGATTCTAATCTTCTGAATTCCTCATAATCTCTATCTTTCTCTTTCTAAGGTTATCTCACTGAACTAAACTTCTTGAATAATATCTTCCATTCCTAATCTTCTCCATTACTGCTAATACTTCTACTGCCTCTGCCACTAATAGATTTGAACTAACAGTTACGTCTGTGTGCTGATGCATTATGACAACCTGAACTTATGTACGCACGTACGAAGTTCTACGTAGTAACTAATTAACTGACTTGACTCGTATACCTGTGATTTGGTAATTGGTGTGGTACGATAATAACACTTCGTGATCGTCTTCTGAATTATATACACCATTGAGCGTTATCTAGTAACGGTTATCAGAACAAGCAGTATACAGAGTTAAGGAAACACACGGAATATTAACCGCCACAAACTATTAGTAGTATAGGTAGTAAGTAGTATAACATCTTACTTGTTTCAAAAGTAAATTAAATTTACTTTTTGCTTCATTAATTCGACGTTGATATTTACGTACAAATAAATTTTGTTCATCATTGAAACTACCAATTTGTTTATGCATTTTACGTTGTTTACGTTGTACTTGAACTCTAAACATTGAAAATTGAATTCACATTATAATGATTTTTTTTAGTTTGTTTGAATAAATACAGAATCATCAAGTAAGTTCAATACAAATTGATCACTTAATAGATTGCTATTAATAAGAAATTTGATAAAATATACTTTCATATTACAAATATTGAATTTTTTTATATTGGGCAGCAATTTCGACAATTGAAGAACATCTGAAACACAAAACAGCTATCAACCAAACAGTTCTACTGTGAGGCGGAAACTTGGAGAACCAGGAAGGTCATCATTCGGAAGGAACAGGTGTTTATCAAATGTTATCTACGCAATACACTCCTCATCCGTTGACCTGACACTACGAATAGCAACCTACTGTGGAAGAGAACAAACTAGATTCCAGGCGAGGGAGAAATCAGGAAGAAGCGCAGGAGGGGGATATGATTCACCCGACTGGGTTACAAGGCGAAATCTCACTTGGATTCCTCAAGGGCAAACGAAAAGAGAAAGACCAAATGATTTGATGAGACGTATTTTCGACTGATTGATGATACTGAAATGATGAATAGGTCACTCGTGTACCACCATTAGAAACATTGAAGCACTGAAAGACGAACATTTCGTCTAACTATGGGACTACTCATCAGCAGTGCGTATCCCCGACCCCCAACCGCTAACAAGAGTTGCATTCCTAGCATACTTGCATAGCTGTTTAAGGTCGCCAGAAGAATGAGCATTTCGTCAGCTGCTTCACCAAATAGAACTTGTCGGCATATTTTAAGTGAGCAAGTAAATCCCCTGGTAGAAGGTCAACTCCTGAAAATTCAGACGAATAAAGTATCTTCTCTAAAAGCATGTCAGTGACAAAGTTACACAGGAATCGAGAAAGTGCACAATCCGGACGAACACTATCCGAAATAACTGATTCCGATGATGATCCAACATCGGCTCTCACTCGGCCAGTAGTGTTCGAGTAAATAATCTGTACATTGTGATACGGGACATGACCAGGTATTTACAAACGGACAAAAAGAGGCTGAAAATGTAGCAAACGAAGTAAGCAACGCAAACACGCACTTAAATAAAAACAGTCAAGTTATGAGTCAGTAATTGACAACGTCGAAAGACGTAAATAATAACGCAGGAAGTAAAGGTTTATTGGTTTACCCAAAAGTTAAGACAAACCGTTCAGGCTCTATATGGTGCACACTATGACATGCATAACAGAGACATGTGTTCCCTGGTTCTGAGTTTCTTCAAGGCTTTGCGTTGTTCTGCAGTTAGTTGGTTGGACGGAAGAGAGATATAGTCTTTTTACCTCATATATCTCGAGACATACAGATAAACACATTTACCCCGAAGGTCATTTATACGTTACACGCAAGTCCACACTCATGCGAGATGATAATAATCGATGGTTAGAGACCTTGAATGACACAGCTCAAAATCCTTCACAATGGCGCCGGTGAATTTATTCTTTGTGTTCTCTCAAATCCTAATCTTCTGGATTCTTCAACAACTCTAGTTTTGACTTTCTAAACTTTTCTCATTAAATCATACTTCTTGAATAATATCTTCTAATCCTAACCTCTTCGATTACTCCTAATACCTTTACTAGCTCTTCTACTATTGGATTTGAATTGACAATTACATCTCTGTGCTGATGTGGTATGGCGACATGAACTGATGTACTTACGTACGAAGTTCTACGTTGCATCTGATGGACTGACTGACTGACCACACTCATGCATCCCTTGATATCCTCATAGGTATAATTGCCATTGAAGAGGTAGATAGATGGTCACTACATCTATGGAAGTGTTTGCTAATACTGTCTGTCTCTCATACGTTACGTTCTTTTTTAGAAAATGGAACAATCAGAGATCGAGATCAGTCAAATGAGATTAAGTCCAGTTTCTCGATTCTTTCTAAGATCACATTTGATCTAACTGCAAATAAAACTGAACCATCATCTTTGCAGTTATTTTGTTAAGTTCTTCCTGCCTCATTTTAGGGATTCCCTACAGCCCTTTTCATCTCTCAACCTTATTAAGTTTTGGATGTCAGAATACGTACACATATAACACAAATCTCGAGTGATAATAATAACTGAATTATATAGATTACCTCTCTTTCCTTGCATTAGCCAATTGATTTTTCATACTTTCAGCTTGTTGTTTTAAATTATCTGTTATGTTTCTAAAAATAGAATGAAACGAAGAAGTAGAATTGTTTTACGCAATAAACTAATCAACTAACTCACTAATTATTTATGTATTTTTGTAAAAAATGATTCGATAAAACAATGATAATTGTGAATTAGTTGATTAAAGATTGAAATTTCACTTTCTTAGAATTCAAAAAAAAATGAGATCAAGCCGTTTTTAGACAATAGTTGATGAAGACTATCAATAGTCTCTGTACATAGTATTCATCTTCAGGCATGAAGAGATTTAAATTGAGTAATCACAGTCACGGTGTTCAGCTAGATATCATCATGTGGACGGGTATATATATGCAGAAGGTGGGCACATTTAACTCTCGCTATTTATAAATGATAGCTTGGGTAAGTCAGTCAGTCAGTCAGCTACAACATAGAACTTTGTAAGTATGTACATCAGTTCAAGTTGTCATATCACATTACCACTGAGAGATGTAATTTTTAATTCATTTCCAATAGTGGTGGAGATTGTAGCAGTATTAGTGGTAATCGAAGAGAATAGAGATAGAAGATATGATCCGAGAAGTATAATTCAGTGAAATAAACTTAAAAAGAGATAAGTGACAACGAATTCAAAAGATTAGGATTTGAGAGGAGATAAAGAATAGATGCACATGCGCCATTACAATTCAAGGTCTCTAACCATGGGTTACGATTGTCTCGCGGGTCGCGACCTGGTAGTCTACATCTACTAGCATAGCTTAGTCCAGGTCTCAGTGACTTCATGGATTTGTGCTGCTTTTTGTCTCGCTACTTCTAGCTTTTTATCCAGCCTACCATTGCATCAGACAACAGCGCACGTTGACAACGTTGATACATGGGACAAAGTGGACGGCCTCTTCAGCTTCGTTTACGTGAACATCACTTAGCAGTCAAACGCCACGGCATCTCTTCGTTTATATCAATACACACCGACAATTATGGACACACATTCGATTGGAACACAATGTGGAAATATTGGGTAGGGGGAGCACATAGAACACTAGAGAATTTTTAGGAGATCGGCACTCATGTCAATCAGCAATCAACAAACACATCGACACTGACCCAATTTATTAACCAATCAGAAAAATCATAGGCAAATATAGGATCAAGAAACAAATCAAAAAGGGGATACAATTAAAACAAGGGTGCAAACAACAATAGGTTCGAGGTCAACAGCAACCAATCAAGATCGAGGTCCACAGAACAAACGTGGAGAAATTCGAATACTTCACTTCTGCTATCTCAAGTTTGTGCTGATGATGTTGTTCAGCAGAAGAACAATGAAAGCTCCACAACCAAAACATCCAGCTCAGAGAACCAAACACCACCACGTTGATAATCAAAGGACTAGTCTAATCAGTTCAAAGAAGACTGAAAACTAAAGGTATGATATAGGATCATTCGTACATGTCAACTTAAGACCGAATTAACTAAAAATCAGTCCAGTTTATGCTAATATATAAGTGTAAAATATGTATTGCTTAATAAACAAACAATTGGCAATTGATCATCGCATTGAACATTCAATAACCCGCTATTTTGAACAAACATTTTACCAAGATTGATAGATTTAAAAAGCAAGTTGTTCGCACATTATTGTGCTCACTAGTATTAAAGCTTTGAATCACTTGTTCATGGATATAAACACTGTAGTGTTTTAATAATGATAAAACAAACTTCTTGTCTCGGCAAGAACTTACCTGTTAAATTGTCAATCTTAGGGAAAATATGTTTCATGAATTTTGTTGAAACAATATAAATGTAATGATATCAAACTTTAAATCGTTTTATTTTTAAGTAGATTTCCGTAACTCAAAAAAATGAGAAATCATAAAATATGCTCATTAGTTACGAAATTGGTGAGGAAATTCTCGTGTTCTAGTGGGAGGTTGTGACTAGTGGAGTCCGATCCTGTCGATTGTATAGATAGTTTACCTACGGAATAAAATAGCTAGGGTTTTGCAATAACTCGAATTGATAAAGTTAGACATTAACATAGTTGGATGCCAGTTCAGTGGTCTGAAGGTTAATCGTTCAAGCGTGAGACCAAAAGTCCCGGCTTTGACTCCTGCGTGCGAGGATTATCTGCGCGCCCAGCAGATGAGCCTCATACTAGGAGGAGACGAAAGTCTTTCAGTGCTTCCAGGTTTGCAATTGTCGGCCAACAATACTCGATTGAATATCTCAATCAAAAACATCAATCTCCGTAACTTTATGATTTGACCGATTTGGTCTCGCGTGCTGGTACGGGTATGAGAGCGGTCGTCACTTTCCGGATGCCCACACCGTGGAAGATTGTTTCTTGAGGAACCTGAAAAGGAAAGTAGATTAGTGTCGGTCTTAGAGACCCGGGGGCGTATTCGCAGAGCCCAGATAACAACTGCTTGACGCCGGTCAGGCACGAGTTTTTTGAGTATTAGCTCCGCTCTTGAAAGCCCTTAGTGGGCACCCTTACCCAAGGAGACGGAAATCCGTGAGGTATGGTAAGGTGTGACATTTTTAGGGTCGACCTTTTCTAACCCTTCCTTCCTTGTGACAAGGCAGCGTCGATGCAGATGCTGGTTGTCTGAGGGAAACACCTTACTGCTGTCACGCCCCTCTACAGTCAGCAGTAGGACCTCGCCCTCAGACCTTGAGTATCTGCTTTTAGTCTCGTAGTTCTCCAATCGACCTGCCCGGTATGGTAGAACCTTCAGGGACATATTTTCCAGCCAGTATAGCTCGACTGGATCATGACGACAGGCAAGCCCAACTACGACGTCAAGGCAGTAGCTACGGCCCTTGAGGTGGTTGGGACATGTATTATGTATGTCTAACCACCGACTGCCTCGACGAGCTTTGTTTTGTGCTAAAGGAGTAGATTGAACGAAAGTTAGGGGCGCCTAGACAAAAAACATGGCAGAAATCCATGAAGTCACTGACAACTGGATTAAGTCATGTTGGTAGGTGTAGGCTACATGGTTGGGGTCTGCGAGACTATAGTCACCGATGGTTAGAGACCTTGAATGACATGACTCAAAATCGTTTTCAATGGCGCAAGTGCATCCACTCTTTGTGTTCTCTCTAATTCTAACCTTCTAAATTCCTCATAATCTCTATCTTTCTCCTTCTAGATTTATCTTACTGAATTATACTTCTCGAATCAAATCTTCGCTCCCTAATCTTCTCCATTGCTGCTAATAATTCCACTACAGCTATTACTCTTGGATTTGAACTGACAGTTACGTCTCTGTGCTGATGTGGTATGGCAGGCTGAACTGATGTACTTACATACGAGGTTCTGTGTTCCATCTATCTATCTGTCTGTCTGTAACTTTATGAATAACTCCTATTCATAAAGTACACATTACATTAACTAATGAGTTGTAAATAGAATGAAACAAACATTTCAAAATCTCACTACAACCAATAACTACTGAATGCGAGATCATGATCAAAACTATTTCGAGTTTCATTATTCTGTCAAAAATATTAACTATTAATATCACCATGCTTTTTTGTTTAAATTGTTCAAATCATTAAAAATCAATGCAATTCAATGTACTTATTTGCTAAATTTAAATTTTCAATCTTCTCGAGCATTTCATTAATTTGTTCTTGAAGTTGAGCTGTCTCTTCCGCTTTCTTGATATATTCTTTTTCAATTTTCATTACTCTGCAAAAAATATTAAATAAAAACTATAATTAGTTTTGTACAAAATAATAAATTAACATTTGGGGAAAAAAATACTTTTTTTTAAAAAATTGAACCTAGAACGTTGTTTGATTCGATTAAGAAAAGTGTATTATTGTTTGAAAATGTGAAAAACATCTATCACACCGATTTGAAGTATACGTCAATAGTCATTGTATGCAGCCAAAATGAAATTGTAACAACTTGAGATGATATGGGTAATTTGACAAGATTAAAACTATTTATTCTAAAATAAATTGATTTCAGAATGAATCGCTCCATGAGTATAGGACAGTGTTTCATTGAAATATACGCGAAGAAGAAGTAACTGTAGTCCCATCAAGCTTGAAAATGTAACAAATGTATAATCTGAGAGTCCGATTTTTAGCACGGTACGATTACACTACCGAATTTCCCGACCGAAGCTGCTACCTTGACGTGGTGGTCAGGCTTGCCTATCTTAATGACTAGAACGAGCTATACTGACTGGAACTTATGTTCCTGAAGGTTCTACCATACCAGGCAGGTCGATTGCAGAACGATGAGACTGAAAGCAGCTCTTCAAGGTCTGAGGGCGAAGTCGTGCAGCCGACTGTATGTGGGTGTGACATCAGTAAAGTGTTTCCCTCGGACAACCAGCATCTGCAGCGATGCTGCCTTCTCACTAGGAAGGAAGGGTAAGAAAAGGTTGACCCTAAAAATGTCACACCTCACCTTACCTCACGGATTTCCGTCTCCAGAGGTAAGGGTGCCCACCAAGGGCTTTCAAGAGCGGAGCTAATACTCAAAAAACGCTTCATAAACAGGCCGTGCCCGACCGGCCTCAAGCAGTTGTTCCCTGTGCTCTGCGGTCACGCTCCCAGGCCATTAAGACCAACGCTAATCTATATTCCTTTTCAGGTTCCTCAAGAAACAACCTTCCACGGTGTGGGCAGCCGGGAAGTGACAACCGCCCTCATACCCGTAACAGCACACGAGACCAAATTGGTCAAAATCAAATCCTTCCTGCACCCCTTAATACCTCTCTTATCTCCACGACTAACTCTTCTCACATTCATTTATCACAGTGACTGACACCGTCAAATTTATCAGGAAACGTGCTGTGTGATACGAACGTATGCGCCTGGTATAGTGCGTTGACCTCAGTTTCATATCTGTTGGAAATGTGGCAGTTTTAATCTATACGAGTCTAGTTGAACTAACTAACGTTCTTAAGAGTAGCAACTGATGAAAAGAACTAAACATCCGATCACTTCAGTAGTTCATAACCCTGAAGAATATTCAAATTCGGGTAATTTGAGCAGGGGATTTTGCAGAATCCGATTTTGAAATCAAGAGTTATGAAACATTTAACCTAAGCAGCTTCAGAATCAGTTAACTCGTTCATCGATTGCAGAATATATAAGTGAGACATCTAGACAGCCTTTAAAACATTGTATAGAAACGTTGAAAGGCAAATTCTTAGGTTTATAGAAGCCTTGGTTAATAGTCAATTCAAACCCCTCTTATTTGTATAGAAACAGTTAGTTATATAACTATGAATTTACCCTGGCAATCTTTAAGCTATTTTCAAGTCTAGGGTAATGTGACTATGTCCTACCCTTTTCCTATATTACATCGATTTTCTCTGTTTTTCATTTATAATTATCGCCTTATGACCATTTAAACTTCTCTTTGATTGACCTTTTATTCATCTCCACATAAAATGCCTTGTTCGAAATGCATAGCGCAAATACATCACAATACTTTTCAGATCGATTACGTCTTCTTATTGTTCTATCAAAATTTATAAAAGCCATTAATTAATTTAGATATTTCTAAAGTGTTAATAAATTGTTCATATTGTTCATATATTTTCACTATCAATGTTTCCATTCTCGAAATTTAGACTTCTGTTATGCCCCATAACAGCTGATCAATATCACGTGCCTTGTAACTAATCACAATCCAGATTCTGACCTACTACGTCATTTTGCGTCAAACTACCTCCTCAACAGTCTAATATCTCTGACTTGGCCTGTTACACAACTAAACAACACAGTTAACCTTCACCTAACGCATCTAAAACTCTATTTGTCCGTCATTTTCACAAACTTCTAGCTGTCCTACCTTGAGTCCTAGAATCATCAACCAGCTTCCACCGTATAGATAGAGAGAGTAAACTTACAACAAATTAGGAATATTGAGTCGTATGACAATAGTTTATGAGTAGACATAAAGCTTAAAATGAGGAGAACTCCGCCTGGAGCCGTTCTACGATAAATGTCGGTCTCAAGCCCGAATAAAGGAAGAGGGTTGGGCATGAGGCTAGCGACCCAATCGTGTACAAATCGAACTCGTTGAAAAAGGCACTAACGAGAAAATTAAAAGGCTAAGTAAGTGTAGCTTAATAATCAACCAATAATAACAATAATAGTAGTGTTAATCCACAAATTAGTTCTCGGACTGAACGCTTCTTTAATCTACATTTTTATGCAACAGCGTCTGAAGTTTAGAGTTTTTAAACAAATAAATTTCATAGAATCAAAGTAATGTTAGTCTACTAGAGCAATATATGAATCGTAACTGTGAAAAAGTTCACTGGATTCTATCTATGGCTAGCGCATTTCATATTAGCAGCTTTCAACTTTTAGATTGAACTTTCATTGATAACTGAGTATGGAATCCTAAATTAAGTAACTTTTTTCAATATCGTTAAATTGTTAACCACTACTAATAATAAAGATGGTTATCATTACGTGGTGCGAGCTACTTACAGGTAGTATATGACGTGAGTGTCAACGTAATGTCTGGTAGCAGAAGATGGGAGAAGATCAAGAAAGGAATTTGTATGAAACGCATGAATAGTGACAATGGATTGATGTTTTGCAACAGGAACAGTCCAGTTCGATAGGATGAACTGATATTTTGCAAATGAACGATTTACGATATGGTTTTCCAATTTTACTGAGTAACTCTGTAATTTTCCTCAAATTACAATTCGGTTGCCCTCACCGGTGCTCTCCTTCACTATAATCATACTTAAGAGCCAAGAATTTGTGACTCGGTTTGTCTACGATTATCAGACATGATGCACTAACCACCAACGACATAAAACTGCGGAATTACTGATACTGAAGATTTAAACTACTGTCCTTCAGATCAGTTAACTAAAGTTCGTTTACGGGATCTGAAAGTCCAGGGTTTCAGTCCTGTAATCGATCGTAGTTGTGTACTAGTATGAAACCTTAGACTGGTAAGAAATGACTTTCATATCTCTTCAGTTCCCAATATCGTTCCAGCTGCTACCAGTCTATCAGGAAAAATTTCCTTCTAAATTTCAGCTAACCTATACCAAAGTCTAGACATTTAGAAAGTGATTAGCTTTCCCACTGACTGTTTTCCACCAAACAGTTATCAAGTATTACATTCTGATCCTGGACAGCTATGATGCATCGGGACGATCTAGACTTTGCAGATGATCTGGCTCTTCCATCGCACATACAGAAACTAATGTAATGGAAGACGATCAGTGTAGAAGCAGACTCAGCAGCAGCAGGTCTCGACATAAGCAACGAGATTCTCTGATACGACTGTTACGAATGCATATCAACACGTCAATTTGATATGCTTGAACTATTACGAGGTCAACTTAGTTGGTAAACGAGAGCGAGGATAGAGGATCCGGCCACATGACATGCTACTCAAATCCGATTATTCCAACCCCCATATTGAGTAAAAATGAGAAGACTTGATATGAAGTAGAACCTGTATTCTACAAGCATCCAGAAAGTACGAGGTCCGAGTTCAGAAGAGGATAAGGATCCTGGACTAAGTGTCCGGATAAGGAAACGTTACAGATAATCCATAGTTATACAGTTAGGTCAAATAGGAAACATCACTTGGTGAATATCCTAACAACAACAATACAAAATGCACAAACTAAATCACACTTGATGGTGAATCTTCGTAGGATGTAGAATCCTTTACATATCGGGGCAGCATCACTGATAAGCAAGATGTATTTGATGTAGATGTGACGGCGTGGATCGGCAAATCAAGGGCTGCACTTCTAAAATTCAACATTCGCAACTCAAAACTTATCGACAAACACCAAAGTCAGAATTTTCAACACAAATATCAAGACTATTGTACTGTAAGGGGAGGAAACTTGGCGAATCACGAAGGCTACCATACACAAAATACAAGTGTTTATTAACAGTTATCTACACAAGACACTGAGGATCCGTTGGCTAGACTCTATCAGCAACAACCTACTGTAGAAGAGAACAAGCTGGATTCCCCCAGCGGAAGAAGAAATCAGGAAGAAGCGCTGGAGGTGTCTAGGACACACATTGAGGAAAGTACTTAATTGTGTCAAAAAAACCAATCCCTCATCTGGAATCTCCAAGGTCACAGGAAAAGAGGAAGACCAAAAGACGATATCCCACGAGACAGACATGAGAAGACTAAACAACTATTTGAGTTAAACTGCAAAGGAAAGCACCCAAGACAGAGTTAACTGGAGAGTGTTGATCGTCTGCCTATGCTCCATTGAGCGTAATAGACGTAAGTAAGTAAGTAAGTACACTCTGATCTTATAACATTTTGACAGTTTCAACCACACATGTTCATCAAGTCCAATCCAATAAAATGTAGCTCTTCTGTTCAAACTGAAACATTGTCAGGTAAGATGATCTAAAAATCGATAATTTTGTAAATTATTTCGTCGAAAGAAAAGATGAATGAAAGAAAAATATTTACACAGCGTTCATTTGAAAATATTGATTAATCTGTTTAAAACAAATAAATATTTTAGTCAATATGCGTTTTTTTTATTTTTAGAACAGAAAAATGAAGAAAATCTATCGACTTATGTGAGATGTGATTTGTCATTAATCCTAAAGGTTTTAGTATAAAAAAAAATTGTAGACCTGAATTTTAAACAGGTCAATGATATTATGAAGATGATGTGTGATAATGCATTCCATACTGAAACACAG